TAATATATTTAATTAATTACGCGAGAGCTTTTAGCTTAAGCGCTCTTAATATAAACTTCTTAATCTACTTAATTAAATATTATATTTATATCTATATTAATAATTTAATCTATATTATCTATATAAGAAATTTCTTTAAATTTAAATTTAATTTCTTAGACTTAGATTTAATATTTACTATTATTAAAGTTATATAAACTATTCGCGAAGATTATTAATTAAGCGCTATTTAAAGAATATTATATAATTATTTAAATCTTATAATTTTAAATCTATAAAATCTATCTCTTAACCCTCTTTTCGAAAATCTTTATAATATTTATTCTTATTTATAAATTATATTAATAAATTAAATATTTTTAAGTTTATTATTTATAAGTAGATTATATCTAATTAACTATTTTAAATAAATTAAAAACTTTTTATAAAGAATAAATATAAATCTCTTATAAATAATAATACTTAATATCTTATTTAGACGTCTTTTAAGACTTATATTCTAAGAGATAAATAGATTTATATCTTAAAATAAGATCTTAATAAAAAAATTACTCGCTATAAGATATATTAAATTATTTAAAAATTCGAATAATAGAAGAATTATAATTATTATAATACTTTTATATTAATAATAAAGTCTATAAATTATAAAGATAATCTTTATATTTATAATTATTCTAGAATTAAAATCTAAAGTAAATAAATATTAAAATTATCTTTTTATATAATAATATAAAAAAAGAGATTTATATATATTAACTCGATAGCTTTAATAAAGATAATATTAAGATTTATAAGCTAAATAAGATATTTTATAATTTAAAATAATTCTCTTAAGTTTAATATTAGTATTTCTCAAAATATATAAAGAAGCTAAGTCTTTTCTCTCTATTAAATTAAATAATAGCGTATTTATAAACTCTTAAGAAGAGTATTATTATAGCGCTCTATATATTAATAATATCTTAATTATTAATCTTAATAAAGTCGAAATTTAGCGAATTAAGAAGAGTCTTAACGCGAAGTTTTATATATCGAATTTAGAATTATATATCTATTATTTAAATATAATTATTAAAAGAAATTATTATAGCGATATTCTTTGTCTAAGAATAAGAGATCTTATATTACTTAATTCTTAAATTATTTTAATTATTAAAATCTTATCTTAATATTAATATCTCTTAAAATTAGTTATAAACTAGCTTTTATTAAAGAAAAGCTATATCGCTTTAAGAAAATTATAAAAGAACTATTAATTCGCGATGAAATCTCTTATATATATTATACTCGATATTTATCTTAATATTATCTACGCGATATTATTAATAAATCGCTATTTAGTTAATTTAACTTTAACATATTAAAATATAATTATTTAAATCTTTCGATATTTAAGAGATATAGTATACTATAAACTCGTATATAAAGGCTTTCTTTAAGAATTTATTAATTATATTAATTCTAATTAAATTAATAATATAACTTAAAGATCTATATCTAACTATCTCTTTAATATAAAAAGTAATATAATTAGTTAATTATCTAAGCGTTAAGTTATTATAATATTATTTATTTATAAAATAGAGTATATTAATTAGATATAGACTATTAAAAAAGTAATTTAACTAAAAAATCTATTTAATTAACTTCTTTATCTTAACAATATAAACTTTAAAATTATTATTATTTTCGATAATAATTAAAATGTAATTACTCTCGTAAAGAACGCTTAATTTTATACTTATATTAAATATATTAATATTATCTATTATTTTATATAGAGAAAAGATTAATAATAATATTATAAATATATAATATATTTTTATTAATAAATAGATAACTAATAGAGCTTATTAAGGCTCTTTACTTAAATAAATTTATTACTTTTTTAAGACACTCTTAAGATAAAAGCTATATTTACTTACTCTCTTAATAATCATTAATCTTACTACTATCTTAATATAGTCTTATTTTATAAAAAAGCTATTCTACTATATCTATATCTAAATTTAGAAAAATTGTCTACTATCGACTACTTTAGAAAAGTTATTTTATTAATTCTCGTATTATAAGTAATCTATTTAAGTCGTCTTATCGAGTCGCTATATTAGACTTAATACTCTATAAACTCGCTATTTTATATCAAAATAGCTATTTCTTTAGCGCTATTACTACTATCGCTATTAAAACTTTTAAAGCTCTTTTAAAAAATCTATATCTATTTATTATTAATATCTTAAATATTATATACCTTTAAATTACCGCTATTATAGCTACTATTATTAAGAATTAGATTATCTAAAAAGATCTCTTATAGAGATCTTATAGTCGGCGATATATAGCTAGAAGTATTTCTTTTAATTATTTTATTTAGTTATCTCTTATATATATTCTTCGATCTTAAATTAATCGATTTTTAATATATATTAGATGGCCTAAAAATAAAATTTTCAAAAAACCGCTTTTTAATAAAAAGTGGAATTTGAATCGAATTTTAGTGGGGGACTAGTCTAATATAGTCGTTTTCAGATTTCGACTTTTTACTTTATCTACTCTATTTTAAACGTCGCGAACTTTAAATCTCATATTTTTTAATTTCGTTTATATAAGAGAGGGGATAGAGGTATAGGGGGTATATAAGGAGAGTATATTTTTACGCTAGCTACCCGGCACTAACTTATCTTAACTATTCGATTTTAAACCTCGTTAGTATCGAACTTCGTATTTACTAGATTTCGCTTATAAGAGAATATATGCGAAGGGGAGTATTGAAATTCGAATTACGTAACTCTTAGCGTCTTAGCGATTACGTAATATAGTTACGTAATACGCCTTAGCGTATTTATATCTAGTCGCTCTTTTCTTTATAATAACTTTATAGTTAATAACTAAGTATCTTATCTTATATTTTTATAATAATATTATAGAGATAAATATAATAAAAGCTAGCGTTTTATAATTAAGTAGAATCTAATTAAGATTAATAATTTTTTATTAAAATCTATATAAATAGATAGAAAATTAACTTATTACTATAGTATCTATTCGATTATCTATCGCTTATAAGATAGTTAAAAGCGTATTAAGCGCTATAAATATATTTTTTATATTATTAATATCTTTTACTATATTATATCTTTTTTTATATATATAATTCGATAGTCTTATTATTCTATCTATCTTATTTATATAACTTATACCTCTATACTAATTCTAATAATTAAGACTATTAAGCGAACTTTAATAAGCGATATTTAAAAATTTTACTTTTTAATAATTATAGAATTAAATTTTAAAGTTCTTAGAGTATTAAAAATTATAAACTACGCTTTATAAATTAAAAAAAATTAAATAACTTTCATAGAGAATAAAAAGGTTATTCTATTTATAAATAATATATATTAATTTTTTTATAAGAGAACTTAAAAAGACCCCTGAGGCTAACTTTATTAATTTAATAAAAAAGTATATAACTCTAAAATTCTAATTAGCTATATTTATAAATTTAATATTTTTTAAATTTAACTTTATTTTATTCTTTTATAGATGTTAATTATTTAAGAGTAAAGTAATTACTATAAACTATATATTTATAATCTAAATAATAATAGATCTTTTCTATTAAATTATATAATAAGAAGTTATTTAATATATATAGCTATCTTAATTAATTAATTAATTAATTAGAAAATCGCTATTAAAAAAATTAATATTATATAAAGTCTAAATCGACTTTCTTAAAATAATCTTATTATATATAATCTATACTTTTATATATTATATAATTATTATAAATCTTATATATAAAGATTTATTAATAAGTTAATTTAATTATTTATTTGCTCTATATAGTAGATATAATTATAAAATAAATAAGTAAAAAATAATTTATTAATTTACGAGTTTTTAATCTATTAATTTTTATTTAAATCGAAATCTTAATTAAAAGATAGATTTTATTTATATCTTAAGAGAATAAATTAATAAGCTATATTAAAAGTTTCTATTATCTCTCTATCTTCTCTATTTTCTCTATCTTTTTAATAATTAAATAAAGAGAAAATATTAATTTTATTAATTTATAATTATTAGTATATATAAAAGAATAAGATATAATTAAGCTTAAAAATCTTAAATTTATATATATAGTTAATTATAAATTTAAAGTTATTACGCTCTTTAATTAAATCGATTAAATTATTATAAATAAATATATTAATATTCGTAATTATTAAAAAATAAATATATATTATTTAATTTTAGAATAACTTTTTTATTTTCTATTAAAGTTTTAAGAATTTTTTTTAAAATTATAAAATAAAATATAAGCTTTTAGAGAAGAAAAAAAACTCTTAAATTTAGTCTTATAATTATTAAAGCGTAAGAAATTCAAATATCGCTTATTAAAGTTCGCTTATTAAAGATCGCTTATCTATTTACTTAATAGTCTTAATTAAAAAAAAATATAAATTTAATTTATAGATCTTTACTCGTTAATTATAATATAATTAAAGATTATAATTATATAATTATAATTTAAATATATTATAATAATTAACTTTCTTAATATATATATAAAATTAATATATTTAAAAGACTAAGATCTAATTTTTAAAATAGTTTAATTTACTATAGACTATAAATTAAAATCGAATAACTTAAAAAGATAAATCTCTAGTAATTTAATAAGCGACTTTTATATTTATATTAAACTTATACTTACTTATATAAAGTTCTTTTTCTTATATTCTATTTATTATATATACGTAATCTATTTACGTAGTAGTTATATAGCCCTAGCCCTAACTGTATTGGACATATCAATCCCATTGCCTTAGTGCAACAGAAGCAGGGTTCTGCTGGCACTAGTGCTAGATGTGGCCTAGTTCAGGGGTTCTGCCCGCGCATCTCCAGTAAGGTACATGGATGGACTAATCAATCAACTATCTATCTACAACCCAACCAACTGCTTACACCAGTCATTCACTACTTGGCAATCAGATACCATGGCGGGGTTTGATTCTGTTTTCATTGGTCTCGGTTGAACCCCGTTTCCACGCCTCTCGACCACTTTCGGCGGCATCATACCCCCATAGCCACTGGAACAGCCCATAGTCCGCACCCGCACGAAGGTTTGCATCGCGTTCCTCCTGGTCCGGACCATCGGCAAGGGCAAACATGGCCTTCTGGTCCAATGTGCGATGTCGGACATCCGAAGTTCGTGGTTTGCGAACCTCCTCGAATACCCGAAGAGCATCGGGGATTTGATCACGCCCCACCGACTGGCTGAATATCGCTCCTAGGACGCCTGCATCCTCGAAGGCCTGTGCGGCACCCTGTGCTCTGAAAGAAGGGTTAGCCAATTTCGGAATGGGATAGAGAGACTATATAATCCAAACACTCACAGGCATGGCAATATCGCGTGAGCAGCATCACCAATCAATACGAATCGTCCATTCTCATGGCGCCATTGGATCGGTTCATGGATCTGGAACAAAGTCCACTTGGTGCAAACGGACCCTTCCACGTTGATAAGCTCATGAAGTACCGGGTCCCAGTCCGAGATCTTGCTCCGAAACTCTTCTAGGTCTGCTCGCTGCGGCCCGTACACGGCCTTGCCGCCTCCACCCTCGGCGTATACCAGAACGAGGTTGAGCATATCGTCCTGGATGAGGTACGAGACCACGTGCCCGCCCGGTCCCATCCAAAAGTTGACGCTGGATCGTCTCTTCAGGTCCCAAGCGAGATAGTCTTCTGTGATGTCTTTGGTAGGGACAGAGATCCGGTATACGACGTCGCCAGGACTGTAAGGAGGGTCCTCACGGCCCAACAGGCTGCCCCTGCAACGGGACCTCTCCCCGTCCGCACCGAGGATCAGGTCTGCTCCATAGACCTCGCCAGTGGAGAGGCGTAGGGAGGGTTTGTTGAAATCGATCTCTTTGACTTCGCTGCCCAGTTTGATCTCTATCCCATGCTTACTTGTTCCCGACAGCAAGGCTCTCAGGAGGTCGGCACGATGGATGACGATGTAAGGGTTCTCGCTAACCAGATTTGGATGAGATACAGGCGGTGACTGCGAGAGAACATCTCCTCGATAGGAGCGGAAAGTCCCGGCCTCGAGTCGGTCAGCATAATTCAGGACCTCCTCGAAGACGCCCCAGTGTTGAAGGAGACGCGTCGCATTGGGGGATAACTGTATTCCAGCACCGATCTGTTAGGCTGTGTCAGAAAGAGCTCGAAAAATCTTATTTGGGGAAAGCATGAAGTTACTTCTTGTAGTTGAACACTACGCTCAAAAACTATCACACGGTGACCAGCTTGAGCAAGAGCCAGTGCGGAAGCCAGTCCACTAAGACCGCAGCCCACAATGAGGACAAAGAACACGGGCCTTGAGTCACACGTATCCGCCATGTTGGAAATAAAGGTGATGGTTTCTATTATTCCCTAGGATAACCTTGGAAAGGTTACGGGGCGCCGGGAGCCTTTTATTTCAAACCGAATATGCAAGCCCACGTCAATAGCCACCCTGGCTTACGCTTAACCCGTGTTTAGGATCCTGCAGACTCTGCGGAACTAGAAGGCCCTCCCTCTGGGTATATCGTAAACTAGTATCATTTAGAATCCACTGTGCATTCCAAGGCAGCACAGTGGTACAAATTTGGCATGTGTAAAGTATATGTTCTATATCTATCCACTGGAGGCGCCGTCGTAAGTAAGGCCTATATACTATATAATGTGACTTTTATATGAAACTAGGAACTATTAGACAATGACTTATTATCACGGTCAACTTATAGTGATAGTCAATGTTAGTCCCATTCGCAAGGTCATACTGGGCCCAGACAGCCTGCAATATTCTCTTACAATATTTCAACGATCGCGACGAGCTCATCTTTGTCCTGGAGATGACATCGAGGACGACGGCCCGTTGCTCATCCGTTCGCGCCTCACAGCCAATGACGTGGATGGGGAATTGCTGTTTACAGGAACTTAGTCGGGGGAGGATCGCGAAGGCTATGTCGATGTGCTGTTGCGTTCTCATGGGTTGGTCGATCAGGGCTTCGAAACTTCGGTTCAGAAACAACAGGATAGCGAGCTGGTATAGTTGCATTACCAACGTCGCATCATCCGAAACATGGTCCTTATCATCTGGGACTTTTCGTATCGGTAGGCTCCTGATTCTCCAATCCAGTACTTCTAGGAAGTTCTTAAAATCATCCACGTTGCCGCTGGTTTCTGGCGGGATTGCGCCGCTCGATACTGTATCGCATACTTGGGACAGCAGATTCAGCATGGAGAAAATAGGCGGCGGTAAATTGGATACCTAAAATGTTCAAACGTCAGCCTGACACTTCATGTGATCATGTGGCTTTTGTCGTGTATTAACCTCTGAACAGAAGAGGTCTGTTGGAGTCGACCGGAGCTCCGGGGCCTCTTCTCTTTTCCAGTGTAGAAGGGAAAAACGAGCGAGAACCTCGTGGTAGTGCACCCAGTCCAGCAAGACGGCCACATCGGAGCCCAGCTGACGTAGTGTTTTTATAGAGGACGCGTTGAGGACCGTCTTGACACCGCCGAGGTAAAACGTCCACTGGCCTGAAGTGCAAGACGACTGGTGGACCTCAAACGAACAAAGCAGCATCCCCGTGGCAGTATGCTGCATGGTCGCTTTCGCGCCCAGACTTGGCGCTGCTGATGCTTTTGCCAAGCTTCCCAGCGCAGCGATTTTCAGCTCCAGGGCTTGGGACTGTAAGCCGTAGCGATGTAGCGAAGAAAAGGCCAGCAGCGCCTGGAGCACCGCCGCAGCCGTCGCCGTCTCCTCCTGCAGGGCAATGCGAACCAGGATGTTCCCGAGGGCGGTGGTGTCGTGGCCAAAGGTAGCAAGGGACTTGGACGCTACACAGCAAACTACAGGTGGTATACATGAAGCTGTTAGCACTCGCTTCCTTGATTGTAAACCGCTAGGTGATTATGCTAGATTTATACAACATACAGTAATCTAACAGGTCTCGGTCAAGAGCCTCCAGCTTAGATGGGTTCCAGAAAACCGGGACACGGAGCAAAGACAGGTTACGCGCCGGAACAGAGCTTGTCATGCTGTGATACAGCTCAATATCCCAATGCGACGTGTGGACAAACCGTGCATCGGAGATCTGGCCCGCGGTGGGAGGCGATGGGGACAGCAGAGCGGACTCGGAGACGACAGCACGCCGGCCATCGTTGGGACGCGGCCAGGACAGCCTGAGACTGTACTTCTGGCATCTTCGGTTGGATCGAGAGCAGGTTGTACAGGCTTTTTTCGATCTGGCGCGATCGCCGCTGATGGCATGACCTGGCCAAGTCAGAAGTTCTTCTTGCTTTTCTTCTGGGTCCTACACCTACCTTGACATGTGGCACGGCCGGTAGGCGCTGTTGTCATCTGCCTTCCCCGCATGGTCATACTGATTAGTCGTGCATGTATGTGGATAGCTGAAGTATATGATGTCACGGAGTCCGGATTTAGAAAGGAAGTTAAATAGTATAGGTACTGATTAATTCTTTTTTTCCGAAACGAAGTTCCAAAGCTTGAAAAGGAAAAGGAAGGACGAAGAGAAAGAATTCGCCACGAGCTATTTACATTTGATGTGGGCGAGCGGAGTTACCATACTCAGGGTCACCAGGTAGTGAGCACCTACCAGAAGTGGGCACCCTCTTGATTTCTGTCTTAAATCTGGATATAAGATCAGCTCTAATCCCGAAATCCATCTGCAACCCTACCTCGCGGGTGACAAAAAGATCGGAACGCCAAGCCCGCACTGATGGCAGTACGACTAAGGCACTAATTGACGAGGGGTGGACTAATATTTCCACATCGTTTATTAACGAGAAAGTGGATAGTATGTCAAATAGATTACAAGCAGTCATAGACGGTAAAGGAGCAATGACAGGATACTAGAACAGAGATTTACATAGAAATTTGTATGTGTGTCTCCGCGCAGTAGTCTGGCTTGGCTTTCCATTCTTTTTGTCGCCCGCGAGCCTACCTTAATTTGATATACCCCGGTACCTGTTGAGCTAGTTTCAAATTGGTTAGCCGCGGAGAAATGCCGCCGTATCCGATAAACGCCGACGCCGAGATAATAAATTTAATCGAGATTCTTCTCTTATAATTAATAGCTTTCTTATTTTAATTATTAAATAAATTTATTATTAAAAGTTTAATATATCTTAAAATACTACTCTATCTACTTTTAATAGAAATATATTAGATTAAGTCTTTAAGTAGTAAAAAAAAAGCTACGAAAATTAATAAGAGATAAATATTTCTTAAAAAACGTAATAATCTTCTTTAGCGTATTCTATTATCTTTAGAGTATTAATTAATAATAATTAAATATCGAGTAACTATTAATTATCTTTTAAATAATTTATTTCTTATTATATATATTATATTTAATCTTATATAAACTACTATTATTCGAAAAATACTTCGAGATAATATTAATTTATATATCTCTATTTAAAGTTCTCTCTCTATATTATTAAAGATATTATAAAATATTTAATTAATGACTTCTATTCGAGCGTATTTATAATTATAAGAATACTTAAAATCGAGATTTTAAACGGAGTTAATAAAAATAAAATAATACTTTTATATATAAATATAGTATTTTTCTTTTTACTATTTATAATTATTAGAGATTTATTAGAATTATACTTATAATATTAATAAATTCTTTCTCTATCTCTATATTATTAAAGATATTATAAAATAATTATAATTAATAAGACTTAAAAGCTATTCGAGCGTATCTTATATATTATAAGAATATTTAAAATCGAGATTTTAAACGAGACATTAATAAAAATAAAAATAATACTTTTAAAATATATAAAAAATATAAAGTATATTAAATCTTCTTATATCGTAAAGAATATTAGATAAAATAATTTTATTAAAAAATATTAAACTCTATATAATAGATCTAGATTATATTTTCTAAATTATATTAATATAATAAGATAGTAATCGAAATAATAGTACGGAGAAAATAATTTGTTATCTCTCGGCGTTTATCGGATAAGTTTATGGTGACAATCGTCATAGCTAGCAGTAACGTAAGGTAGATAAGGTAGAAACCGGTGGACCCTTAAGCCCGTAGCGCCGATCTTATATCTATAAACTTACTTGTTTTAGGGATTCGGCGTTCCATTGCATTAGACGAGCTTACGCACGCATACTTCTAAAACACGTCAGTAGGACTATGAGCAGGATCTTGGGCTATCCCGTCCATATACCCGTTCGCCACCAAAATCTTAGACAAGAGGAGCTCCCAGGGTTATGATGCAATGGAGTCGTAAGGCAGGGAGGAAGTAGGGTACAGTAACTACGTCCCTCGCATAAATTACTACATGTAGCTTAGGAAAGAATTTGACGGGTAGACAGGTGTGTGTGGGTATTTATGTATGATTAGGCAGGTAAGATCGAAAAAGCCTTGGAAGGCAAGTATTCCCCTGGCAGCTGAATCCACTGATAATGAAGAATGGGCTCCATGTGGGGGCCTATCTGTGCTACAGCAATAAGTCAGGTCTGATTGGATTTAGATCTATGCATGCGCCAGCCTGATCTTTCAAATCGGATGCACGCTTATCGATTGGTAAAAAAGACTGCTTCACTCTAATGGGTCTTTTCAGCAGTCAAGGGGGATAAGTACGTACTTTACTTGAGAATCTCAGCTCTTGGCAGTCTTCCTGGGGAAGACAGTTTTAGCGGCAATGCAAGTTAGACAGCCATGCAGCTTCGGGGCAATATCCCCAGGGCATCCCAGTATATGCCGATAACTTCTGTTGAGTCTTTCTTCTTCTTCCTTCTCTTTTCTCTCTTCAAGCGAGAAATGTTCGTCAGACTGTACGATTAAGATGAATCCTTTTCCACTCGGACGACGTTACATTCCGTTGTCACCTATTTTTGATCATTTCCAAAATGGTGTGGGCGTAGCAACAGTGGCTCTCGCCGCGACCGCAGCATCGCACCAGAAACAACGCCCAAACGTCCTTTCATCATCTTGGTAACGCAGCGTCTATGAGCCTCTCCCAAAGCTCGACGGTTTTTGGTACGTCAGAGAGACGCATTACATAGACAACCCACTCGTTCGCGCCGGACTGAGTGGACCCCCACTGTAAGTAAGAAAGATCAGATCATGATAATCACGGAACGAATCTGATTAGCTGGTATGGCAGACATATATATCGTTTACAGGACGAATACTTCAAGGTCGAGCAGGGTGTATTGGGTGCAGTCAAGAATGGGGTGGAATACACTGTCATCAAAGATGACGGATTCTTCCACATATCCGCCGGCACGCGGTAAGTTTTAACCCGACGACAGACAAGATGTCCCACGTATTTGCTTCGAGAGCCATTTTGACTGACCATAAGCCGCCCTGGGACTTGCAGCCATCGATTTTGGTTTCATAAATCAGCTACGGAAACTCTCGTCTTCTCCGTCTGGCTGGATCCATGCAAGGGTAATGACTATATTCTTGACGTGAACTTCCTGCGCAACTTTTCGGGCTACATCGACGATTGCCTCAAGGCCGGCCTGAAGCCGTCCGTTCTCCAGATCATTCTGTTACCTGAAAACGCATCCTCCCTCCTGTGCCCGCCGTTCCTGAATTGTATGCCGGTCTGGTTGCTCATTTGGGTACACCGCGGGCTTGCCTGGTTCGCAGAGAGTGTCTTAGGGTAAGTATCTTTTTGGACGCTACGATTCTCATATTATAGTATATTATATTTCTTATTCTTTATTATTAAATTAGTTAAATTCTTATCTTCTCTAATCTATAAAATCTTAATAATCTTTTATTATTTATATAACTATCTTAAATATAGAATATCTATTATTAATCTTTTCTCTTATTTTATTTCTAGCTTAATAAAATATTCATATAAAGATTTCGAGTTTATATATATAGAAAGAGGTATCTTCTTCTAGAAAATATTAGAGAAAATTTAATTTAAAGTAGATTTTATAGTAATTATAATATTAAATTCTAGAAATAATATATAAAGTTTAAAGGTTAATACGCTTCTAATAACTTAATAATATTTAATCGATTATTAATAAATAATATTAATCTTATTTTAAGCGTTAGCTAGAACTATTATATAGTTAATTTAAGAAAAAAATCTTTATTATTAGCGAATAACGAATTTATAAAAATTATAATTCTTAAAGACGTTATATCTAACTTAATGAATATAAAATCTCTTTTTTTAATTTTTTTAAAAAAAAAAAATTTTAAACAAAAAATTTTCTTTTATAAATTTTTTAATCTTAAAAATATATAAAAAAGGGAATAACTCTTTTTTCTATAAAATTATTAAATAATTTTTTTTTTTTTTTTTTTTTAAAATATTATTTTTTTTTATTTAATATTTTTTTTTATAATTTATTTTTTTTTTTTATTTTTTTTATTTATTTTTTTTTTTTTTTTTTAAAAAAAAATAAAAATATATAATTTAAAAAATTTTTAATAAAAAAAAAATAAAAAAATTATAATTTTTTTTTTATATTTTTAATATTTTTATTTTTTTTTTTTTATAAATAATAATTTTTAAAAAAAAAAAAATAATTTTTTAATAATTTAAAAATTTAAATTTTTTTTTTTTTAAAAAATAAAAAATAAATATCGAATATAAATAAAGTTATTTCTAACTTCTCTATATAATATTTATAATATATTTAAAATTCGTAAATATCGAACTTAGTAATTCTATAGAGAGAGAGAATAATATAAAGTATTATTCTTAATAATAATTTTATTTTAGCTAGAGCTAAAATAAAGATATCTCTAATTAATTTAGATTAAGATTATATATATATCTAAGTATAATTACGTAGATATAAAAATAGCTATAGAATAGCTAATAATAGAGCGATAGTAAGTTATTAATTAATTTATTAAATAATAGAGGCCTAAATTAGAATTCTATAGTTCTTCGAGTTATTAAATACTTATATTATTAATTAAAATCTTTTAAAAATCTTCTTAATTCTCTTATTCTTAACTTAGTTTATAAAATATTTATTAAATATTTATACTTTTATAAAAATATCTTTAATCTTTATAATCTTAAATATACTCTTTTTAAATAGTCTATTAAATTCTTTTAATTAAAATATCTAGAAATTCGATAAAGATAATTATAATATAAACTTAGATATATAAATAATAATATTAGCTAAATTTCGATATTAAATAAAGATATATTAATATCGAGAGAGGTTATAACGTAATAAAGCGTTTTAAATTTTTTTTAATAATTTTAATTATCGTTATTATCGTATTAAGTATTATTTAAATCTAAAAATTTATATTTAATAAACTCGAGAGACTTAATTAAGATATCTATTAAAGTTTTTTTTTTAAATATAGCTTAACGATAATAACTCGA